TGCAGCCTTGTCACTTGCTCGCTTCAACAACTGGAGGAGAACGGATTGACCCTGCGCCAGACTCATTCCGTCTGACGCGCCTCTTCGTCCCCCGCGAACTAAACGATCACATATCACACTATCACCAGCAATGATTTTGTGGCATCGGGCATTGATTGGACCGGGATTCATTTGATGGTGTCATATAAAATGCTTATTCATGACCACTTATTTGTGCGTTTCCCACCTTTTCGTGAAATCCACAGGTGTAGGGAGGGGCGAAGCTCAGTATGCTTCAATTTCCATGCCACCTAGCGCTCTCCGAGATCAATAGGAAACAGCTCACAGGTGAAGATAGTGCGACAGGCACTCACAGTGGGAGTATTCTGAAGTCAGCCAAAATGTTCCATTCAAAAAAAGCTGTACTTTGTGCTCTGATCGCTTCTACAAACGGAACCTCATTTTCTGTCTTCACGTATGTTTACGGCCTCGTACCATTTAATCCATTTAATTTCCAATCCCTAATCAGCACCTCCTGCTATGCGATCGACAACTTACCAAGATCATGTTGTTAGAAGCTAGCTCCTGGTCGTATTTAGGCTGGGAAGGAAAATTTTTTGTTTATTGTTTTTTCTGATTGAGGTACGTTGTAAAGGGGAGTCGTAGCTGCTCGTGGCTGGGAGGGGGGTTTGCTCTCTGACCTTCTGAGAGGGGTTGCTGACTTTTCCTGGTTCTTCCTGTTTTATGTGTACAATTTACCTCTCCCACAGCCTCTACACCTCGATGGGGAGGGAGGCAGGGGGTCGTAATAAACCTCTAAAAAGAGAGGGGGGGGGAAGACTCGACCAAAATCACCATCTAATAACGTGCCCTGTTCAGTATATATGCGAAGGCCAACCGGTGACCAAGTCAGGGTTTTTTTCATACTTACGGACTAGTTTGGTACGAATCAGCCGTAGTATGCTTTTGAGTTGGTTCCCAGGCTCATGCAAGAAAATCTGATGTATCACATTAAGATTAAAGGGTAATCGTGATTACATCTTGGCGAGGACATGCTGGATCTGATTTTAATATTTGTATTCGCTTTTCAAGAGGAATTATTCCTCGCAGCAAACTTCGAGCTTATCAAGTGATCAATAGGATTTTAGGCCTCTTCCATCGGCTCACAGTGATCAAAATGATGCGCCTACTCACGTACACCATCATCAGCATGGTCGTTTCTTCCAAAATATGTTTGGTCCGTATAGGAATGAGCGAGAACGTATCACGTATCACGTTCCTTTCGAAAGAAGTGGAATTCTGATCGACAACGCTCGTATTGAGGTGTGTATCACAAATTAATCCAAAGTTTTCCGAGTTCACAGATCCGCCTTTCAGGAGCTCGTTCGTTCCGCGATAAGCAACGTACCCTATTTAACGGAAGACCAAAGTAGTCGATTTCGTATACACTGGGAAAACGACCAGTCCCTTCACATATCTCTTCCTACGCAGAGGTACACAATGCATGCTGCACAGTTACCCTAAAGACCGGTACGTAAGTACGGACGACATCGCAATCGCCGCTCGCACGAACACTAAATGGGATCCTGCAAATGAGACCAATTCTTAATTTCAGAAAATATGATTTGGAAAAAGCGTCTTGGGAGGATTGTCCATAGAAGACGAATAGAAAAGGCTGAATGTTCGAAGAACTCATAGAAACCAGATGACAGAAGTTTGGAATAACAACAAAAAGAGTAAACTCTTGGTGAAGAAGATCTACAACAACTCCGAAAATACCTCCAAAATAAATGTATGAGCTTCAAAACTCAAGTTGATCCCAATACAAATTTACTTCCTAGCAAGACGAAATTGAAAGAAGAACAATCGAAAATGAGATGTGCCAATAGGTCGCGTTCATAGTTCGCGACACTTTAAGAAAAAAAATCACACAACAGGAACCTTTGTTGCTCCGGATCTCTGTGAAATCGATCAACATTGACATTCTCCAGCGCTATTCCGAAATCACCTAAAATTTTCTTTTGAAAAAGCTTTTATTGATAGAAAAGAGGGATCTATTCTTCATGTTGGCTCTGAACATCTTTTTTCTAATCTCTCATCATTTCCACGATCATTCAGCCTTTGCGATTTCTTTTTATGGCCATACCATCTAGAGATGTCCTTTCAAATTTTTTTTTCTGGAAATAACCTTTGGTTTCTACATTCGGGGTACCACCTAGCACGCGCGGCGATCGTGATGTCGCGCGGACTTATCTAATGGCGGACTCATCCACCGGATTTAGGGTAGCTTTTCATTTAATTTGATTCACCTTGACCAATCAGAGGAATTCCAGAAATCCACACATAGCCTCTCCTGCCCTAGAACGTGTGTCACTTATAGGAATACTACTTGACCAGGTTGCTCATTTCCGCAATGTCGTCGAGGTCAGTTCATTTTGCAATTGAGCTGTTGGAGGAGTATCTTCTCGAGATATCTCGAGGGATTTCATACACTTCACTAGCTACAAATATTCAATCTGCCAAGTGTTTTTATTTGCATATGAAGTGCAATGAATTGATGCATTGTTGTGAATGTTGCGATTCGTTTTTAAACGCTAATTTTTTATTACCCAGTTTAAGGCGGAAAATGGAATAGCGGGTAGAATAGATGAGTTTCTCGAGGGATCGCATATTTACGATCCAGCGAACACGGATGTGATGAACGAGCAAATTCGCGATGTTGCTCTGTCTTTAGAGCGCGAAGTGGTCTCCCGATCACGTCTTAGTGAGTGCTATTACCCTTGCAGAGAAAAAAAATCAGATCGGAAAGGCAAGTAAATGGTTTGTTTTTCAGTAGATACATTTGGAAGTGAAAACGCAGGTGAAGACGAGTCAGACGAACATGCAGCTCGTTACGAAGCTGTGGCCGAGACTGATGGGAGTCCTGGTTACGTGATGAGGTCGGTAAAGCAGAGATTACGAAGGCTCTGAATCAGATACTTCTGCTGGAGATGCATATGAAAGCTGTGCCATATACTGCCTTTTTATTTCAGACATGCCATCACTCCGGACTTGGTGGACATATTGAGACGGCTGAGAGACGAACAGGAGGCGCTTAGCCCACATTTAATTCGTTTTGAGCGAATATTAAACTCACGCATACTTTATAATATAGACGATGCAGAGGTGAGATTTCGGCACATGAAATTCGATAAAGTCTAGTTCCATTAAATTTCATTGGGTGTTCCGTTACAGCATACCGATACCGACTACCGCGCTAACTTTTTTACCGTCTACATGGAACATATGCAGAGGACAGTCCATCGGATTTCTCACGCTTGGCACCTCACTAGTGATCTTAGTGTTTATCTGCACACTCCGATGCCCAGACGGTTGCTTCCGAACTACCAGCAGTTTCGGCTCTTACAACCCACTGAGGTACCTTCAAAAAAGACTTCAACAAGTTTTTCTTTCAGTATTGTGCTTCTCTTCAGGGTGAAATAGTATTGGAGTTCCATCCCACACAAGGAAGCGCTGCCAGCGAAGCTACTTCCAATGAACCCTCGTTTAGATTTCTGGACTTTCCACCTCCAGGTTGACAATATTTTCCTCCCCTTCCAAATCACTTAATCACATTCGTTTTGCTTCAAGGTGTGGACGTCCAAGAGCTGTCAAATAATGAAGTTCGGATACTTGGAATGAATCCTACAAGTTCGTGACAGTGATCCTATTTCCTGAAAACACTGCTCCTGAAATGTCTTATTTTAGTCCGGAGGATGCATCAAATGGGTATTGCCGTTCCTATTCCAGTGTCAACTGCTGGACATGCTGTTGGTCCTCCTGGCCATTCTCGAATGATTGCACCACGCCGTTTGTTGCCTTCCCGTAGAGGTGGAGTTGTGCCGTGGAACCCGCGTCAGCCACCTGGAGGTTACTGCTTTTATGCTGCTATACTTGCTTTTATTTTTATTTTGGTTTGGTAGATCGCAGTTAGTTGACACTACTCTTTTTGTATCTAACACATTGAACGTCGCGGCGTTTTTGAACAAACCTGTTCACACTTCCTGCGTCTTCGGAAGAGTGAATTGTCTGCAATACACAAACGCGCGGATACAGGGGGGGGGGCAAAAAAGACTTTTTTCTTCCTTGACTTTCGAGGCGCTATAAGTTACACTTTATTAAATTCTGATCGGACATTTCTACCACCATATTAAAGAGCATATTAAATACTATCATGACACTCCGCCACAGCCTTCTGGACGAGCGCCATCGAGAGATTCTGCACCCTGAGATCAGCGAGATAGTCGATTTCTCCGCCACCGTAGACCACCCTATTGAACTCCGCCCGAACCGGGTAATTGAGGATTCAGGTCAGGTGACCTACTTGGATATTCCATCTTCCTTTAGGTACTCAACGCCCTTCCATTCCAAGTAGGCGAGAGTTTTTCCAACGCCCTCCGATTCCATGTGGTGGCACCCAATCCTGTAGCAGTACAAAGTTTCCAAGAAGGTACGGGCGACGACATGTGGGAGGATATTCTTCTCGAGTTGCTCGATGTAACCGCCAGCGCTCACCTTCAGTCCGGGGTCCACGAAGAAAATATCGGTCTTTCCATTCCAGGTACGTCCGGTCCATACCATCAACCCGCGCCTTGGCGACTGTGGTGAAGATGATGTCCTAGACCGTAGCGACGTTGTCGGAGCTGCTCGATGTTGGAGGTCATCCAGATCGAGAGTACTGCTCTCCAGGTAGCTATCCATGGGTGACCCTCCTTAGATCTCGGCAGCGAAAAATTTGCTGATATGTGACTCGGTCGAAGGGACATTTTTTTGCCCCCCCCCTGTATAGTGGGTGGTTATATGAAGTGCTATTCCCGTTGTATGACTAATATTTTTCGAAGCAAGTGAATCAGCCCTAATAAACACCTTACTTCAAGCCATGGAGGATGTAGAAAAACTTAAACATAATAAGCATACAGGGGGGGGGGGGCAAAAAAAGACATTTCGACCGAGTCACATATCAGCAAAGTTTTCGCAGCCCAGACAGAGGACGTGGATACGAGTACCAGGGCGGAAGATACCCAAGATGTTCCTCTATAAGCAGGAGCTGGCTCTCGCCCATCACCTTCATGTACACCAAAATATGAAGTCATCTCCAGTCGCAGCCTGACTGGAGAAGACCTTTGGAATTCATGTCACCTCCAAACAGCTGCGAAACTTCTAGTATGGAGTCACCCATGGATAGCTACCTGGAGACCAGTACTCTCGATCTGGATGACCTCCAACATCGAGCAGCTCCGACAACGTCGCTACGGTCTAGGACATCATCTTCACCACAGTCGCCAAGGCGCGGGTTGATGGTATGGACCGGTACCTGGAATGGAAAGACCGATATTTTCTTCGTGGACCCCGGACTGAAGGTGAGCGCTGGCGGTTACATCGAGCAACTCGAGAAGAATATCCTCCCCACATGTCGTCGCCCGTACCTTCTTGGAAACTTTGTACTGCTACAGGATTGGGTGACACCACATGGAATCAAAGGGCGTTGGGAAAACTCTTGCCTACTTGGAATGGAAGGGCGTTGAGTACCTGAAGAAGGTGGAATATCTAAGCAGGTAACCTGACCTAAACCCCTCAATTACCTGGTTCGGGCGGAGTTCAATAGGGTGGTCTACAGTGGCGGAGAAATCAACGATCTCGCTGAACTCACGCACCCACTGACGGTCGCGTGGCAGAATCTCTCGATGGCGCTCCTCCAGAAGGCTGTGGCGGAGTATCATGATAGTATTTGATATGCTCTTTAATATGGTGGTAGAAATGTCCGATAAGAATTTAATAAAGTGTAACTTATAGCGCCTCGAAAGTCGAGGAAGAAAAAAGTTTTTTTTGCCCCCCCCCCGTACATTCGTCGAGAGTGACTTGAAAACCTATGATCCATTAGGAAATCGACCCACAAAATGTGAACTGTAGGCAATACACAAACCGGCGGAACAGGAGTATGCGCGTGTTGCTGACAGTTCACGCGGTGTTCAATGGGTTAAACATAATCTGCATTCAGGTACAGGCGCCGGGTTGTTTCCTGCCTTCCGGCACGAAGCGTCTAGACCTTCCGGAATGGGCGATACAGGAGTGAGTATATTATTAGGTTGTTCGAAAAGTCCTGCGACACTTTGATTGAATTGTTCTAGAAAAAGACCAAAAATCATTTTGGATGTTTTTATCCCTGATTAGTGGAGACTGTCCTCTGGGGTTTCTGCACATGGGTATATCATGACTTTGTGGAAGTTTTCAAAGCTTAAAAGTCCCTCAGAGATCGAGGTATTCCTGCAGGGCCACTCCGCCGTAGTCGAGGAAGCTAACAAATGTGTTGTCTTGAGGAAGGATATCGCTTGCCATGGCAGAGGGTAGCTTTTGCATCAGCGCTTCCAGGCTGGACTTATTTAACTCGGAAGTAGGCAATGTATAGGTCGCCACCAGCACAGAATGACGGCCCTTTACTCAAGCTTCTTGAGGCGCAGCCGAAGGTAACCACCAGTAAGTTGGCAACCTCTCTAGGCTCCACCTGACTGACAACTGCCATGCTTCTCCGCAATCTCGGTTATCGGAAAAATTTTTGTGAAGGATGCTCCTTGCGTACATCATGCACATGTCCCTCGCAGGATCTCTCAAACAGTAAAGTAGATTGCTTAGCCAAAAACAGATGTGCATGGGATAAAGATTTCAGTGTGTTATTGGTGGGATTTGGGGCTTTGGATACTAGCACCGTTGTAAGAGACCACAGTCCACCTTAATCGACTTCAAAATATGGATGACGTCACGCTTGAATTCATTCAGAAATACTCAATTTTTCTCTACTACTCGGCAATGCGAAGACCGCATGTGGGGATCAGGCTACGCCAAAAGATCATGGATTTCGATCAGAGAATGCGACCGTACCCAGGTTATTTAACAAAGTTAGCAGCCTCTAATTACCACCTCCTTTGGTCCCTATCGCATCCTTTAAAAAGCAAAAATTCCGAAAATCGACCTCAACTCGAGAATGAGGTCCACCTCTTCTTTTTATCATAGTTGCCGTAGTTCTATGAGAATGGAAATGAGAAGCTGTGCAAAAGAAGGGCACTAGTCCTAGTCATCAACTGCGGTTACCTTGTAGATTGGAGATGTCTTTTAGTGACAGAAAATTTAGTCCGAAAAATTTGGTCAAAGTGTCGCAGGACTTTTCGAACAGCCTAATATTTACTGTTTTCAATTCCTCAGCTGGGAGGCAATTTCATATCTTAAGCATAGTACCGTCTCAACAAATCAGCATGTCACCGGTCCACGGACACCAGATGCTTCCCTTCAAGCATCTCGTGGCGGAAGTCCAAATGGTGCTCCTGCAACACAAAGGTGTGTTATAAAAGGCTTCTAACCATAGAAAGCCATGAATTTACCTATATGAATGGCTTGTAAATTTTGCTTCCATTCGGACTTTAAGTGCCCTGTGGTGAATTATTGTTACGTATTGAGCGTTCTCATTATAGCACTACTCCTCTGCCTTATCTGGAAGAAGCTCTCGTGAATACACTCGAAAGAGGATTGCCATGTATGTTTTCATTTATCATTGAAGAACGACCACGTGATCGCATATTGTGAGTAGTTGGGTTCAGTAACGAACCTGTAGTTGCTAAGTGATTTCAAGGGAGAGAAAAACAAAAGAAGTCGTGAAGAACAGCCTAAGTAAGGAATTCTACCAGCCATTTGTCTGAACTTGCTCGTATTATACCAGTATATCCTACCTCCTCTGGCTCACTAATCACTTCTCCGCGTTATCTAGTGCTAATGCCTTCTCACAGCGAAGAAAGTACAAGAAAATAGATTGCACTAATGGCAAAAATTGCTTTTGAGTTTAGGAGTGCGTGCGTCCGAGCTGCCACTTATAGGGCCACAGCGCCTTCGCTACTTGCTGTGAAGCCGTCCACGCGAGGCAATTTTAGAGACTGAGGGTCAGACTACTTGTACAAAAAAGGATGCCCACGAGTTTCTTAAGCGCAGTAACTGTCCTTAAACTAGATGCATGTTAGAATGTTAAATGGACCCACATAAAGGAAGAACATGAAGTGCACGTTTGTTCACTCAAAGAGAAGTACGGCATCAGATTCATAAAAGGTCGATTTGTTCAGCGCTGGAGTCTTCCAACCCATACGAGCGTATCATGACCAGGCTGTTACAAGCTTCGAACGACGAGAATGTGGACGTTGCCAGTATATTGCGCAGTCCTTCTGTTCAGCAGGTTCAGCTATTACTTTTCAGGTTTTTGGCTTCCAGACAATTGTAGTTCTGTTTAATGTTTAAGGCAATATCTCATGGTAATGCTCGGTCAGAAAATGGATCCTCTTCTCCGCAACATACGTCGTCCAGACTGCCTGTTGGTTCAGCATTCATATGATTCTCTAATCTTGACTCACATGTCTGACTTTAGATTCATCCGCGTGCACCGGTGCCTTCTCTGGGATCGCTCGCTAGAGGTGTGATCACTCAATCTGGTGGAGATATGCCGTTCATGTCGGTGAGTCGTGCTTCGCATATTTTTGATACCATGTGTTCCATCTTTTATATTAGGAGGTTATATCAAATATAATGAGGAGTAATGGCCTTGGTACCTCCCTGCCTCCACAAGTCGACGTGATCGTGGAATATGGAGTATGTTTTCAAGCTACTGACTTTCACAAAATAGCTCATCACAATCCCGTGCGACACGTTTCAGGACACGGGTTCCCAATCTGGTGGAAATCAAGGACAACCTCAATTGCTCAATATGGCTATGAGCGGGATGACTGATGGTCAAGGGTATGCACTTAGTAGTGTTTATTCTTTCTTTTTCTTTTAGAAATTTGTCTTTAAAAAATCTCTCACTTTTGGCGTGATTATGAGATGATTCATTCCATGTAGCTGATGATGGTTTGTTCAATTTCGAACTGGATGGGAACTCGTTTTGTAAGTAAACGAGACTCGCTGGAATCAAGGTACCCTAACAGCGGGATGCTGGTGTCAAAGAGAAAGAGCGCTAGTCTGATAACGCGCTCGCAGCAACAATTGGTCCTTGGTTCATTGGGAAGTGACACGAAATATGCTACGGGGGCACTGAGGGTGGGTGATAAGGTCAGATAAGTGTGAGAAAGGAATATCACAAACTCCAATTCGTGGTAGTAAGAGCGAGCCGTTTGCCTTAGAAGTTTGTTAGGAGATGGTGGGTAACAGCGACTGGTAGGGCTTAGAAGCCTAATGACACTTTTTGAAGTCGTTTTGTTAGATATATTATATTATATATGTTAGAAAATAGGCCCTGGTGGCGTAACGGATAGCGCACTCGCCCGGAAAGCGTGAGGTGCGGGTTCGACTCCCGCCTGGGGCACGACTTTTGCCCATAAGCATTCTTGTGATAACCTAATGACACTCTATATGACCCGAGTATAACCAGGCTGTCATTTGTTTCAATCCCTATTCCTCGGTATTGGCATACCACAAACGCTAAAGAAATGGACTTTGGATGCATAGTGGATATACGTCACATGAAGGAGGAAAGGCCGGCGCTAACTGGACCCTCGGAAGAAAAAGCGAAATTGGAAACCCGTAAAACCTCAGCTGTGCGCGGCACTAAACGAGCGTTTTTAGACGAGTGTTGATTATGAACAGCGGCAAATGACTTTATGTTCATGATAGTCTTTCATTAACAGATTTAGTGGGGAACATCTGAAGACTCCTAATGCTGCATGCGGTGGTGTATGCAGCAGCATGGCGCTTCAGGGGCAGAGCAGTCCGCCGGCTAGTGAGGTGCAGCAGTAGAACGCCTTGCCGTCTAATCTCATGGACAGCTTCGCTGAGCGAACCCAAATAAAATAATGGGCGAAACGGTAGATCTGGCGGTACGTCTAGAACTTGATGTCCCACAAAGTTCTTTTGTTCGCGTGGGGCTACGTTGTGGTGCGCAGGCGTTCGTGCTATGCATACCAAGCGATGGAGCCAATGTAGGGGAAATCCCTGAGATATGGTAGACATGGCTGCATACTTCAACTAAGCGCGGCGGTGGCTATGCTTTTGGTGGTTTTCGGTGGGATATTTTCATTTCGACGCAGATATAGTAGTCATCTCTCACGCCAACGCTGAATAAGATGAGAGTTGTCTCAAACCGAAATATCCCACGAGTTCCCCTTCTATACCAAATGCCACGCCTACCCATCTCAGGGATAAGCAGCGTACTTCACGTGGGTAGCAAGCAATTAGGAGTACCTCGAACTTGGGAAATTAAAGGAGCGGAATGCGATAGCAGCGATTGCTCGCACTGTGAAATATTTCTTATGAAGTGTCATGAAGACCCTCTCTAACAGGGTTGTACTATGCAAAAGCACTATTTATCAATCGCCTGAAGCTGAGTTCAATCTTCCCCCGGAATTTCACACATTCGATCTCTACTCAGAATCACAGTGGCTTCTGTGGGCTTTCGAGTGGCCAGTTTTCCTTTTTGTAAACCACACATTTTCAGGAGACAACCCACAGCTGTTGGATATCATGTCGAAGTTCATCAGTTTGACATATTCAGTCAAACACCTGAGCAAGAGAATTCTTCGCAGAACTCCAGTCAAGGTGGTGCGTCATCGAGCGCATCTTTGCCTCTAACTGCTCCTCCTGCAAACATGATCGCTCAAGCAAATATACCAACGCCAACTGTCCGTAATGATTTCAGTCAGATGAGGCAGCGCCAACAAGGTAATCCTTGCTACAATATTAGGTCGTCTGGTAGTCCTTACCGGTTTAGAACGCATTAGATGTAACATCTGTTTTGAGAGAAGTGAATAAGATGACCTGTTCAAGTTACATATTTCCTGAAACGACTCAGATCGTGGTGTGAGGTTGGCGGGAATGTTCTGTTATATTTTCTAGAATTAAGCCTTCTTTTTATAAGGAGGCACACGAGATCGAATATTTGCGTTGTTACTTTGCTTTTAGTTTGCGGGGTTCTTGCCAGTTTTTGAGCACCTCATGGATGCCATCGCTTCACAATGCTGATCGGCGCGACGCAAAGTTGGACATCATCTCGATTTTGACTTGGATTCGAGTCTTGAAGGTCTTCTCGTCCATATAAGTAGTGTGAGAACGAAAGGCAGCTAGCAGTTAGAAGGAGCAGTGTCCGGGCTACAAGGATGTAAAGGCGAGCCAACCAGCTCTATTGCATGGGGTTCGGCTCTACCTTTTTTTGAAGGAGTGGGCTGCACTGTCATGTTGAAGGCAGACTATGCGGACAAATTTTCCTCTCCGATCGACGATTCGCTTCGTAGGGATTGACCCTGGAAGCAGATTCTTTGCCCGAAAGTTTCACGGGCTACAGCTGCCTCGAGCTGAGTTCATATGGACATTCAAACGTCACTTAGTCTCAAAGCTATATGCTTCCGCTATAAATGCTGTATGCTTCCGCTATAAAGCATTAGCGTCGTGGGAGGCGTCCGATAACTGGAGGCATCGTCGTCATGCAACTCCTTCATTTCGGTCCTGGCAGCTGTCGCACTTGGGCCACAGTGGTAAAAAAAGTTTCTTGGGGCGCTTGATAGGCCGATGCGATGGTACCGCATTTTATCCTTACCATTAATGGTCTAATAGGAGGAGCATTCTTTTATGTATTACTGCTCACACCGATCACCCCTCTTAAGGTAATGGGAAAGTATTTTGAGTTCAAAGTATGGCAGAACTCTCCAGCCAACTAATATATTTGTTTCTTGTTTCCGCCATTATACGTTCTCTTGTGTTTGCTCAGAAGTATTGCAAATCGGAGGACTAACATTGGCATTTTCGGTCTCTTTGGTTTTTTTTTAGTAAAAAAGCAAAAATGCATTCCGTTTTCTAAAGAGGGCGTAGCTGAGCTAGTTGGATCCATCTGCTATTTGGTGCTGAACCTTTGGGAAAATCAACGCTCCCTGAGGGAATGACGAGTGATGAGAAACGGGTTCTCTACAATATTTTTTCAGTCTGAGCTACCAGTGAAAATGTTGAAAGTTATCGGCTGAAGAAGACAAGTTAGGGAACAATAAAGCAGAATCGTTCAAAATAAGGCTACTGTGCTTCCCACCAGGATAACACTAGACTGGGCAAAATTTTGGCCATCCGGCGAAAGGTATTGGAGTTTTATGGAATCCCTTTATACGCCTGCCGCATAGACTTGGCAGCTCCGGACTGCGATCTGCACCGGACTTTACAAAATACCCGAATTAAAAGTAAGATGGCGCTTGGGTAGCGGGCTCTCGGGAAACGATAAGCAAAATATGTAAACATGTGAACCGGTTTGTCTCCTTGAAAACTTCTGTTTCTTTGTTCCACAAAAAATCGGCAAGGGCGTTTCGAGTAACACAATACTTCTTCTTTTTTTAGGTAGATTAACTGTTTCGATATTTGAGCCTTTTTTTACCTAACTTGCAGATCGGAATATTTGCAGGTCCTCCCGGAGGATTTCCATTCGTCATGGGTGGAATGGGTTTTCCATCGGAAATGCATTTCACTGCTCCACGACAAGATGTACAATTTGCTTAACTTTCTTACGATGCCGATTTTTTTATTCATTGTGAGGCTGTTTCAGATCGTTAATGTGGATCCATTTTTATCGTGCACAAGTAGATTCACAGATGTGCAGCGGGTTCTGCGCAACAGTCACCCAACCAGTCCTTCTCAGCTGTCTCCTTACCGACGACTCATGGGCGTATGTTTTCTCTAACGTGCACTATCTATTTCTCAGCCATGGTTGAATAATCAAGAGATTCTCGAGCATCCAAAAAAGGATTCGAAAACAATATATTCAGGATGCGTTGTCGTCGAATTCGCTGACTGATCGCCGAATCACACCAATAGATGCTTACGAGCGGGTCATGGTAGGGTCTCAGTCACTGCTTATTCTTCTCTCCTACATTTAAATACCCATTGCAGCTTGCTCTCAACACGTCGGGTCACGTTTTAATATCAGACGAAAGTAATTTCGAAAGCTTCGTGCAACTTGCTATTCGTTCCGCTCTGAGTCAAATGATTCATACAGATCAGGACCGCAACTCTCGTAAGTGCCTCCGAACATCAGTTGTTCAGAGTTTATTTTTTTTTGCATTCTGTGGCTTTTTCTTTCTTACTCTGCTTCTCTTCTGAGCACCTCATTTCCTCGAGATTTTTTAAAAGTAAGTTGTCAGTCTAAGAGCGTGTTCAACTTCGCTGATCGCCGATCCAAGCGCTAGGATCACGAGTGCGAACGCGCTCGGAGTGGAATCCATTCGGCGTGCTGGGACGCGTGTAATGAACGTCACAGTTGTGATGCAGTTAATGGCTAAAGCAGTTGCCATTAAAAAGTTTTGATCATTTTTTCAACCGCTACTTCTTTTTTTCTGATTAAGAGCGCAGCTGAACGACAATTGCGGTGAGCTTGTCCCCTTATTGCTGTCAGGTTGACTGAATTGTTATTATTATTATTCGATGTACAAGGAATAAGCAAATTGCCAGCGCATTCATTACCGTTTGAGCTGCCATGACGTCGTTCACCATTGGCGGTGAAACGCCCCAGATTGCGATTATCGCGCGATGGCCAAGTCTGAACGCGCTCTAATTGGCTGCTCCTGTCTGGAGCACCAGTCTCTGTTTGTCAGTCTTATCGACTCTCTGCAACCATATGCATCAGCCGAAGAACGTTGGATACTTATTTATTTTCAGTCCTCTTTACCGTCTTAGTAGTGAGTACCATAATCCACGATCGACTTTCTATTCGCTCGTTACATTGACTACAATCACGCTTTCGGAGAGACCACCGCGCGGGACAATGGCAGTTTTTCGATTGTTCGTGCGTTGACATTACGAGGTCGGTGGCGTTGTGAGCCACCAGATCTCGTAATGCCCCTCATGAACCACTCTTTGCTTAGTGAATCTTTCGAGGAACGCTTAACTGGACCGCGAACCTTTTAGTCTTTCCGAGAGCTGGGAATGATTTTCTTTTCACTAAGTTCTTACACATACTCTCTGTTATAATGGTAACAGTGCAGGTAGTGCCTTTAACTCGAGTTCTAGAGCAGAGCAAGAGAATTTCGGCTCCCGCCCTTACTTCGCGGTTGAAGGACTTCAACAAATTCAATTAGATTCAGATTATTCAGAAACTCGCAAACCATGTATACACCCGTTTCTTCAAGGGATGAGTGTTTAATGTATGGTGATCACTATGAATATCCTTTATTAAGCATTCCAAAATTAGGCGCAGTTTGTCGACGGGGGGGGGGGGCATTTTGCTTTCCATAGATGTGTCGACCCATCTAGGCAGCCGTTTCTCGAGTTGACACGTTTTAGGATAGTGGCTAGACGATCTTAGTTCAGCTTCACAAGAGTTCACAGGTTTTACCAGAGTGAGATTTGTAAACCGGAACTAGGGAAGCAATGATAATACAAAATGCCCCCCCGTCGACAAACAGCGCCCAAAATTTTTAACTTTACTCGGCTTACGTTCGGCCTCATCGTTTTCTTCAAAGTGAAAGGTCGGAAAACATTCCTGGCCGACGTCGCTTCACGGCGACGGAGATAAGGTAAGACCTTTGGTGCGCTCCGCTATCTGGTGGTTTACTGTTCTTGGGAAATTCTCTTCAGGATCGTATAGGTTCTTGAGTAGATTGATTTAAAATGTTTCCCGATTTTTCAGACTCTGAAAAATGTAAAGTAGCCAAAACGTAAGCCGAGAAACTTATAATTCTTCGAAGGCTCAATAAAAGATATTCGTTGTGATGCATAACGTCAAAATTGGAAGAAAGTCGATCGTGGATTATGATATTCACTACTAAGACGGTAAAGAGGACTGAAAATATCCAAACAAGAAAAAGGATTTGTGGTGACTGGTAAAGCTGTTGGTAGATCAGCGGTCAGTGCTGGAGACAATGATGCTGGTGACTTGTAAAGTTGTTTAATAGCCGTTACCAGAAGATAAATGCCAGTCAAGTCACCACGTGACCAACGGACCACTTGTCTAGTCTGACGAATTTATTTGTCTCGGTTTCGCACAGTTTTGCGAACTTACCTCTGTTTTCCCCAACACTCATCCTCGGCTACCTCACACATACCTTCTCTTTATTTCTCTTTTATACCGTTTTTTACCACCAGCTATCCTTTGTCACTCCTCGGGACCCTTTGGACTACATTGGCTTCCCTTCTTCTTTCTTGCCACTGCGACGTTACACTCAAACAACGCAGGCTACATAAGAAAACTGTGCTGTTACCACTAAGATCTTTTTCACTCGCAGACTTTTCATTCTCCTTTTATGAGACTTTTACGTGAATTCTCGGTCATTTTGCCTTCAGTTTTATCCTTCTGTGCCTACTTGTTGATTGATAATGTGGACTTCTCGCTCCTCTTGAATCTCTTTACTGAAGGTTTCCGCTCCTAAATAGACTTCTGGAATACGCATTTGTGCACGGAACTTCCAAGAAAATTAACCAAAGTTTCATGGCATCGAAAGCATTATCTTTAACAATTGTCTATTTGTTTCATTTTTAGAAAATGTCCGAGGAACTGGTAACCGTATGTTCCCTCCTGGTCAGTCGGTTCAGGTGAGTAGTCGTATCCTTTTGCTCTCTTTCAAGCATTTTGGGAAGCAATGTTCCACACAAACCAACATGCCTAATTCATAGATAAGGTCATATGGGGCGGAAGTGGCATAGTAGTAAATGGCGCGCTATGCACGCGCACAGTCAGTGGATCAAATGCCGAATCTGCTCCCGCCCAGGCGCCAACCAAACTTTCTATGCCGTGGGGATGGTCAGTTGGTGCCAGACTCGTCTGGGAGGATAATAACACTGACTTGTACATCGGCTGGCCCCGCAAGTCATTGTATAGGCCACATCGCATTCAATAAGCCACTACGATTCTGGAAGTGGAATGCGTGCCGCATTCCAAAAAACTTAATCAGCGGCGAAGACTTTTATCCTTTATTTTTTGAAGATCATATGGTTCCATTATTAGCTGCTTCAGATGTTTGAGTGTGGTTTAACACCTTCGAGGCGGCTTGTACTCCCGAGAGTACACGCGGAAACCCCTTTTCGGTCATTCTCACGCGCATAGTTTGTTGTTCTTTTTGAGACTGATTGTATTCTACTAAGATACATTTACACAATTAATATCAATACGAAGAAAAAAATTGTAAAAAATATGCCAAAAACAACGACGAACGTGAGTTCTGGGCGAAATGGCCTTCGCCTCGAATGTGTTAATTATTAG